TCATTTAACAAAATTTATATAATAATAACAAATAAAAAATATACGAACAATATTAAATTACATATAAATTATTGTACATGATATAAAATAAAAAGTATTATATTTTGATTATTATTTCATGAATATGCTGTTTTTAATAAATATTTCTAGAAAATTATTTTTTTAGTATTAATTTAATAAAAATATTTAATTACTTATATATTTAATACATATTTAAAATTATATAATATTTGAAAATATTTCAAATCAAAAGAAACAAATAAAAATTACCTGAATAACAGCAATACCGATGCCTACACCACCCAAAATCAAAGCATTATGCTCAATAGCAGACTGAAAATTGTTCATACAACCATTTGAATGTATATGAATTGAATTTGAATCACATTTACTTCCTTCTGGTACTTCTTTACAACAAGAGCTTGGTACAATATTATCTGAGAATCCAACATGAGCCCAATCTGTTGCACCAATCATTCCACAACATTGTAACTAAAATTTAATATTTAAAGTATATATTTATTAAAATTAAATCTATAAATATTTCTAATTTATTATAATGAATTTTTAATTAAAATAATTTAATTATATATAAATAATAAATATAAATTTTTTGTAAATATTTTAAATTAACATTCATATTTTTTAATATTAATAAATATTTTATACTAATAATATTAATTTTATTATATATTATATATATATATATACATATATATATTATTAAAAATATATGAAAAACTATTAAAAAGTTAATTTTATGAAAATTTAAATAATTTAAATTATATATATATAAATATATAATGTAAATAATGTATAATTATTAATATAAAAATATTAAGATATATGAGACATATAATTATTTGTGAATATGAGATTATTATATTTCAATATATTATTTTTTTTATATTTCATTAATAAATAAGTTTAACTAATATATACTTACATCATGTTGCATAATATCCCAAGATCTATGAATATCATTATTGGTTGAATATTCTTCCATAGTAGTATTTAATCGATTTTCTACCATTGTACGTACATCTCCACGCATCATATAACCAGCAATCCCAGCACCAAGTTCAAGTGCAAAGATTAAAAGGAGTAATACAGAAAACTGCATTAAAAAGTTTATATTATATTATTATATTATATCATTTTATTTTTTATTATTAAAAATAACAATTCTTTTAAATTGAAATGAATTTAATTTTGCTTGAAAATTTAAATTTATTATAATTAAGTAATTAAAAAATGTTCTGATATGAAAAAAATTATTACATAAATAATAAATGATTATTACCGTTATTATCATACAATGATTTTCTTTGACTGCACCACAACAACCAAAGAATGACACAATAAATACAATAACACCTACTACAATTATCAATATTGGTGCTGCAAAGAACCAACTGTCCATAAAATTATTATAACCACTATAAACCACTAGAATCACAGTACCAACAGCAATAAATACAATTCCAGTTATCTGTAATCAAAACAATTTGACAATTATTTTCAATGATATAATAATAAAAAAATATTTAAAAAAATAATAAAACATTCATAATGAGAAACTTTACTAATGATAGTAAACAAAATAATAAATATTTGAAAATATTTGAAAATATATTTATTTAATTTTTATTGTAATATATTAATAAATTATTTTTTTTATCTATAATTATTAAATATCATAGATTTATTATAATACAAATTTAATAACATTAAATTAATAATAATCTAATTGAATTAATAAATACAAGAATAATTTATCTTTAATATAATAATTTATTTTACATATATTGAAATTATACAAATATATACAAATAATAAATATTTAATGTTTTAGCAATTTTTGCATTAAAACAAATAATAAGATATATTTCATATATTTAAAAAACATAAATTCGAAGGAAAAATTAATTGTATTTGATAAAAATTTTTAATTATTTTTTTTGTAATATATTTTTATATGTTTTTATGTTTTGTTTTAAGATAAATATATTTTGTATTCATATCAATATTGAAACTGTTGATTAAAAATTTAAATTTCGCAATAAAATTAAATAATAATTTGCACGTAATCTGCATATTTCTAGAATTAAATGTAAATAATAAATATAAAAATAAGATAGTTCAACGACAATTATTGTATGTACTGTATATTATGTATTATAATCATTCTAAATTATTAAAAAAATTTCAAATAAAATTAAAATCGTTATTTTATTCTTTTTAATTTACTTAAAATTGTAATAACAATATTAGAATTAATATCAAATACAATCAAAGCTTATGGAAGTCGCGAGAAAAACATGGAGTACTTACTGCGAATATTAAGTTGAAAAGAAACGTCAGGTATTTGATACAAGCCATTCCACCGGACACCATTTTTTATTGTTCACTGATTTCGAGAAAAACAAACTTGAATAAATCGTATAAAAATGATATATATTAATATAGATAGACAATAGAATTGTGTGTATTCTTTATAGAATTAAATTGATATCCTACATACAATTTAAACAGTTCGACAGTTCAGCAAGGAATAGTCATATTTTCATTAGTTTACCCTGGCTGACTTGGATGCGTGCGCACCTTCCCGGTAATTTTCTCAGAACCGACTATATTTTTCATAGAGCCCTATGAATTTCTAATTTTATCTTTTTAGCATTTTTAATAAAAATAATTATATAACTAAATATTAAGGCATAAAATATTATTATTAATTAAAATTATATTATAAATATGTAGCATCATTATAATAAAATATAATATATCGTATTTTAAGATAAATAAAATATTAAATATTTACAAATCAAATATTGATTATTAATATTGATATTGATATTATTATTGATATTATTGATATTGATTATTGAAATATTGATTTAATTTCAATTATAATCGATCATATTGAATTATGTAATTATGAATATTCATATGCAATATTATTATCGCGGAATAATATCAAATTTGAAGTCTTTAATGACTTAAAAAAAATGCTTTATAAATGCAAGATGTAAATCATATTCTAGCTTTATATATATATATATATATTTTAATAATATAATATAATATGAATAATATATTGCACAATAATATGCAAGTAATGAAATAAACAAATTATTATTATATAATTATTATTATATTATTATTATTATATTTTATTATATAAATATGTATGTTTGATATATGTATATAAAATTATTTATATACATATATATATTTTTTATTATTTTTTATTTACAAATAAAATTATTTCCTTAATAAATAAATTATTAATTGATAATTTTGTAATTAATTTTATGATTTTGTAAATTTTTTATGATTCTTAAATCTTACTGTTTTTTTATTTTATTATTCGTTCAATTCATTTTTTTTAGAGAATTAAATAATATTAATAATATTTATCTAAAATATGAGACATCCTTAAGAATATATGCGATACTATTTCATTAGTTACGTCTTTATCAATATACGAAAATAAGCAAAAATGAAATTTTATTATTGATTTACTTTTTCTTTATTATTCATAATATTTGATTGATAACTGTATTCTCTCTTTATCTTTGTCTCTTCTCCCCTCTTGTTTTCTTTCTCATATGTATATATGTAATATTATATACATATATATCTGTAATATATTGCATGTGTATATATTTTTTCCATGATAATCTGTACAATATCGAATTTTTAATGAAAAAAAATTTTTTTTTATAATATTTCTTTTTATTATAAGAATATTTTTCAAAAGAATACAGAAATATAATATATGTATATAACATATATTGTAGATTGTAGATAATCAGAAAAAAAATAATTTGAATTAAGATTAATAATAAAAATATCGTATTTCTTTGAGCTTATGAGAATTTTTGTCCGAAAGATAAATATAATATTTATATAATAATTTAAAAAAAATTTTAATACAATAGTATAAAATATTTGATAATCTAATAATAAAATAATATATCAATTAATAATTTTCATTATATTTACACAATATTTCATTTATGTACATATATATACATAATATATGTACATATATTATATACAAGTATATAATAAGTAATATTTAAAAATATATATATAAATATAAATATATATATATAAATTAAATTTTTTTATACATATATAAACATTATAAATAAATAATATTTAATATTATTATTATTTTTTATATTAATTATATGTATATTATATATAAATAACGTTTTAAAAAAGTATAACATTTTATTAATTATTAATATTTTGTAAGAAAGATGTTTAGGATATTCTTAGATGCCTTTAAAAACACGTAAAAATTCTTTAAACTTTTTTATATTGTTTGGTCTTCAAATGAATGAATAATGAATAAATATTAATTATCATATTATATTTTTATATTTTATATTATATTAATTTTAACAATTTTTTAATATATATATATATATATAATTAGTAAACTATTTTTAAAATCTCTTAACATTGATTCTTAATATTATTATTCTATTTTAAAAATAATTAAGTAAACAATAAATATGTAAGTTGCAACTTATATCGGTTCCAATTTGATGTTATATTTATGGATTTAACGAATTGAAATAATATTGATTGTTGATCTTGATTTATCAATTTTTTATTGTTCTGAATTTTATTTAAATTTTATTTAATTTAAATTAATAAACTTAGAATTTAAATGTTACGTTACTGATAATGAAATATTAATATTTTAAATTAATAATAAAATTTGAATTCAAAATATATAATTGAATATGAAACATATGAAATGTATGAGTACAAACAAAAGTTTTTATTTATTGAATCAATTTTCGTGAATGCTAACTTAAGCAACAATAGTTTTATTTGTAAGATGTTTTTACTCATAAGAAATAATAAATATCAATATAATAGTTATATAAAAAAAAATGTATAGATTTATAAAAAAAATTTGCGGTTGGTAACCTTTGAAGTTTCGTAACCTTGGTTGAGAGTATTACAATTGCGCATGCGCTTGAACACGCAGCCACGCGATAACTGTCTAAAAGTAGTGAATCATTGTTGCAATGTTGTTAGTAAGTTTGTGCGCCTTTTTTTTAATCTTGATAAAATAAAAAAGAAAAAATTGTTATTACTATAATTAATAAAGAAGATTAATTCTAAGAAAAAATGGTCAACGCTATGAAATTATCTCTTGGTTCACGATGTGTCAAATATCTGATGTTTATCTTCAATCTATTCTTCGTTGTGAGTAATTTTTATTTTTTTTATTAATAACTCTTAGTTATTTTGGATACTCTAATAAATTTATTAGTGTTAATTTTCGTATTTGATTTTTTGAAAAATTTAAAGATAATAAATCATTTCGTATAATGTATAAATAATGAAATATTCTTTTAATTTGTTATGAATCGTAATAAAAGTGCAGCACGGTTCAAAAAGTTATAATTAGACAATTTTATATAATTTTATTTGCTTTTTATTTGTTAAATTATAAAAATCATACTAATATGATAATCTGATATATTGTTATGTTATTCTTTTTATAAATTATTCTAGTTAATAACGCAAAAAATATTAATTTCATACTAACCTAAGTATAACCTAAATATCGATAGAAATATCGATATAGTAATTTACAAAAACTACCAATCAATATCAGTGAAATAATCTAAATATTATAATATAATTATTATTTAAATTATTATTTAAAAATGTAAAACTAATAGTTTATTATAAAATTTAGTTTATAAATATTTGTCATAGTGATTCGTTTAATGACATTGCGTATCATTCAGATTTTACTTATCTTAAGTTTAACTTTTATTCTTAAGCTATATATATATATATATATATATCAAAATAAATATGTTGTATGTTGTAACAAAATTATAATATGGATATGTAAAAATTAACGAAATATTTTTAACTCTTTTATTTTAAATTATATTTTATATTCTAATAAAAAAAAATTGGAAAATGGACAAAATATATCTATAAATAAATAAATATAAATATATTTAAATATATATAATAAAAATATTGTAATATTTTGCTATTTTCAATAACTTTATTATATAATGATTTAATTAATCAATTTTTAAAATTAATATAAGATATAATAATAAAAGTAAAAATATATTTGAATATTTTAAAATTTTTTTTTATTAAATATTTTATTAAAAACATTAAATATTCATTAAAATTACTTGTTTTAAATGATAAAAATTTGGATAAAATTATAAACTTTAATAATAATTATAATAAAGTATTATTAATTAAGTTTCCAATATATTCACTGATTATAATAAATTATTTATAAAATTTAGATATGTTATAATAAAATTAATTTAAAATAATATCGAAAACTTTTCTAAGTTTGTTCGATTAAAAAATTCTAAAAAATTGCTTTCTTATAAAAATAAAAAAAAATATTCCGCTGCGGACAGGATTCGAACCTGCGCGGGTAGAACCCAATGGATTTCAAGTCCATCTCCTTAACCGCTCGGACACCGCAGCATTTAAAACCAGGGTTTATTGTATAAGAATAAGAACTGTATATATATTGAAAAAGTAATATTTTAATTTTATATTTTGTATATGATTTTTTCTGATCAATTTCTTTCAATACTAAAGAAAATGAAATTTATACATTAGAAAATTGACATCAGTTAATTATATTTGAACAAATAAATTAATCTGATGTATATTTGCTTTTGATATATATTTTATAAAATAAAATTTATATTTATATAATATTTTATGTAACTATTTTTAATATGATTATTGTTATTTAAAAAAATAATTGTCATATATGTATTAAGTAATTTCAATGTAAAAAATCATAATATAATCAATGTAAAAATATGTATATATATATATATATGTATATATGTATATATATTTAATATATATACATAATTAAAAAGAATTTGTAAATATCTGTAATTTATAAAAGTTGTTCTCATTTTTGTAAATCATGGCTTCATATTAGCCTTGTTTCTCTTCTCAGTAATTGGATATAATAGAACTTTTAATCTGATTTTCTATTGATTCAATTTACAGTGTAAACAGATCTAAATAATTGATTCAATAAATGCTTAAATCGAATCACTGACAATATCACACGCAATAAATAAACATAAATAATCAGATTGCGAATATTTATGCAAATTTATATTTTTAATTTAATTAAAGATTTGTTTTATTTTCTAAGTTATAAATATTTAATTTTAATTACTTTATCGATTATATTTAATTGATTATATTATTCTCGTATATTTATTATATTTTTGATAAATAATGATAAAAAGAAACTGAGAATTTAAGACTAAAGTATTTTAGAAAAAATTATTAATTTTAAAAATATTATTACTGTATTATTATTATAATATTTTTTAAAATTTAAGTTGCAATTAATTCAAGATAAAAAAATATTATATACAAAATATTGTTATTTTCAGATCACCGGTATAATTTTATTATCCATTGGAATTGTGATTCATGGAATTTATCATAATTATCAACATTTCTTGGATAATAAATTTTTATCAGTTCCTTCTTTATTGATTGCAATCGGTGCAATTATTTTTTTTTATTGCCTTTTTCGGATGTTGCGGTGCTGTACGCGAGAATTATTGCATGATAATTACGGTAATTTTTAATATTAATAATATAAAAATTTTTGATAATATTATTTATTACTTTATAAAATTTCCAGTACAATTTCAAAATATAATAAATCATGGATAAGATTACAATGAATAATTTCAGTTGAATCAAATAAGAACTATTTTGCCTTTATTTCAATATTGTATATTGTTATTTTACAGAAATATATTATCAATGTTTTTTTCTTCATTTACTTTATTATACAAAACTGATTAATAAAATATTTTATTGATCACAAATCAGATTAATTTAATAATACTTTTTTTCACTTATATTACAGTGAAATAAATATTATGATGGAATATTATAAAATATAATATTTGTATAACTTTTAATTTATTTAATTTCTTAATTCTAGTTTGCATCGTTATTGGTCATCGTTTTTATTTTGGAACTCTCGGGTGGTATATCAGGATATGTTTTGAGAGCTAGAACATCGTCGATTATTCAAAATAAAATGAAAGATACAATGAAGATATATACTGATAATAAAGAAATAGCATATGTTTGGGATAAACTTCAACAAGATGTAAAATATTTTTCTCCTTTTATTTTTGATAAGTTTTTTTATTTATTTATTTATACTTTATAATTTATATCAATTATTTCTGAATTTAAATAATAAATAAATTTGATAAATTTAATTTTTAAATATTTAGAAAAATTAAAATGAAATTATAGATATATTTAAAATAAAATTAAATTATCACAGAAATATTATTTATTTTAGTTCAATTGTTGTGGAACAAAAAACGCAAGCGATTGGATGAATATTCTATCTGCACTTCCGCTTTCATGTTGTAACATTGAAATGGGGGCTATAGGATCGGTAAATTGTACTCTTGGATCTCCGAAATTGCATTCTCAAGGTTGTTATTCTGAGTTTCTTTCTTTCATTAACTCTCATGCTCTGCAACTTGGTGGTGTTGCCATTGGAATTGCTTTCGTTCAGGTAATTAATATACGTGTAAATTAAAAATAAAACATAAAAAATAATTATAAGAAATTGAATATAGATTATAATAATATAAAGAAACAAAAATTATATAATTTTTGCAATATAAACTTAGTAAAAGATATTCATATTCATAAAAAAAAAAAACCAAAATTTTAGTTATTACAATCAAATTGTTATTCATTTCAGGCAATAGGAATCTGGTTTTCAGTTTTCTTAGCGCGATCGATTAGAAATAGTTATGAGACTGTATAACATTTTTCAAAGGTTTGAAAATATATTACATATGATATTTTAAATTGAAAGTTAATTGTAAACAAAAATGTTATTATAATTACGATTTCATTTTAAAAAAATTTTTATTATAATGGTAAATATATTTTATTTTCAAAACTATCAAATCAAGAAATAATTAAATAAAATTAATAAATATTATATTACAATGTATATATGAATAATAAATATTTAAATTCTTTCTTTGTTTTAAATTATAGTGGAAAATATTTAAGATTATAATGACTTCGAATGATTCGAATAATTTATCTTTTAATTACATTTGTTGTAATAAATGTTATAATTAAATTTAACAATTTTTGAACACATTTTAAAAAAATAAATTTAATAAATTTAATAAATAAGAATGATCAATGTATGGTATGCATTTAATAAGAAGTCTTATGGAATGGTACGAATGGAAACGATACAATGAAAAGAAGATATGTTTTTTTTATAAAGAGGATGAATACGAAAAAATATTGATTGATTGAATTTTTTCTAGATTATGTTCTTCTTTGTATGGAATTATTTAAATTGTATCTTGAATATTTTCCAACATTATTATTGGAAATAATAACAAAGACTTTAGAATATTTTTCAATGATATACTCTATACATATAATACTTCCAATAAAAAATAATAATATTAAAGTTATAAACTTCGTATAAAGTAATTTATATTTGAATAAAAAATAAAAATATTATATATTCAAATGTATTAAAATTTAAACGTAATAAAGAAATATAAAACAATTTTTCATGTTTATTAAAAAACCAAATTTTTTTATATTATTATTATTATATTTCTCTCTCTTTTTTTTCTTTCATATATAATAATATTTATGCAATTATAGTTTAAAAGTTGATTGATATATTTAATAAAAAAAAATAATATAATAATAATAATATATAAAATATATTTTAATAACAATCTAATTATATCTTTTGTTTTATGCAATAATACAACGTGTCTTAAAATTACATTGCATAAAATAAAAAATATAATTAGATTAGATTATATGCTCTGAAATTATTAAAATGATTTTATACTAGTAATTTTATTTTATATATATATATATATTTTATCACATTTTATCATATAATAATCGTATTTTTTTTTAACGATTTTAAACGATTTTTTATTTCACGATTTCATAAATTAACGATTTTATAAATCGTCATTATAAATATCGTTTTGTTAAGAAAATACCGATTGCATAATTACCGCGCAGAAAAATAATTGCCTGAAAATCGTCAGTCTGAAAGCTACTCGGTAATCAGTTTTGAATTAAAGTCATTTTGATTAATATTTTTTCATTTTAATCTTATTTCTCATGAATAGTTTCTATTTCATTTTTTAAGTGTAAGTCAAATTGAATTAAAATGATCGATAAAATTGAAATATTATATTTTGTGATTTATATAATATAATACAAGAATAAATTAACGATCAAATCGTTATTTTGACACGTTTATTATTACATATACTTCTTATTTTTTTTATAAATTGCAGATAATTTTCAATTCATTGTATTCCATTATTTCTATTATCATTTATTCATTTAATTCATTTCATTGTACGAGTGAAATAATCATCATTTTAATCAATGCTCTTTTACATACCATCTTGATAAATTCGTTTATAATTTTGATTAAAAGAAAACTGGCATTATTTTAAGCAAGGAAAAAAAAAATTCTTTCCTTGATTCGAAATAGAATCTGCCACGGGTCATAATAGTTTTCAGCGTATGAATAATGAACGTGTGCTGAATTACCTACACGATACATAGTACGCATGAGTCATATTCTGTGTTTTCACGCATGGGCGTAGTGACCGGTCGATGTGCCAGTGGTCGACTATTTTACAATCTTTTTACGCTAAATATCATATGATGTATGCGATCATTGTATGCGATCAATATCTGTATTATTTATTATAATAATTTTAATTAATAAATTTTTGGTTCTAAATTTTATACAATATATAATAATTGTAGAAATAAAAATCCTTTCTTATTTCTTTTTATTTCTTACCATTATATTTATATATATTTATATAAAAATTTTTTTCCTCCCTGCTTAAAATTTGTAAAATTTATGAAGAATAGATTTATATTTTTAAATATAATATAGATTTATTCGTAAAATATTTTTTTGATCTTTGAGAAACTAATATTTTATTTTAAAATATTTTTTATTTAAAATCATTTTTAAAGATATCAGATATATTTATCAAGAAAATATTTTAACATCCTTTAAAAAAGGAAGGATTTTACTTAATTTAATTATTATTTATTTTTTCAGAATCTTTAAATGCGATGAAATATATTTAAGTTATCTAATAATCTATATCTGATTATCTTATCTGGAGTGTAACAATTATCAATATAACAATGTATATTGTATTATATTTATATTATCAAGTTTTTCGATTTATACAAACGTTTTACACAAATTTGAAATATTTATTTGAAAAATATTAAAAATTCTAATTTAATAACGAAGATAATGATTACTCGTTATAATTCGTATCATATCATGGCATATTTGAAATCGTAATAGAATTAATTTTCACTCGAACAATTTAATAATAATTTTTCTCGATCATTATCTAGCTATTATAATAGGAGTTTTTTGCATACAGAAGAAGAGACAAGAACAGATAAATACGAGTAAGAGAAATAGAAGGAAGAGGGAAGAAAAAAAAGAAAAAAAACAAAGATACTTGTAAAAACACGTAAGCAAACAGCGCTACGTGTGTCGTTGGTACGTATACCGCTTTATCAGTAGATAATACGATACATCGAATCGAGTTTAGATGTTTCCACGTTCAGTTCCGTAGTGCACCTGCGTGAAAGAGGATTCTCAGACACCAAAATGGCTGCCACACACCTCGACGTTGGTCTACGTTGCATCAAGTACCTGCTTTGCGCGGTTAACTCCCTCTTTGTGGTCTGTAACCACATTCTTTCATCTACTTTTCATCTGTCCTTCGAACATCATTATGTCGCGTTTTATACGTACGAGGCCGATTTTTCTATTACTTATATTAAATAAACACGTATTTCTCCAATTATGCGAATTATGCGTATATCGTGTTTAATATTTATCATATCGTATTTCATTCAACAGACGATTCGATCATTCACTTTTTAAATATTTTCCTAATATATTATCGATAATTAATTTCATTCACATTATATCTTCAATTTTCTATCGAACGTATATGTAATATCAATAATTTATGCTTTGATCAATAATGCGTTAATTATTTCATATCAACTTTTCTATCTAGATAGATATGTATATATATGTATATGGATATGTAACACGATACATGCATAATACGATAGAGATTTCAAAGTACGGCAGACTTTAACGGATCTATGAGACAGTTTTGAATGTTGTATTTATCGAATTTATTGGAATGTATGAAATCCATGAAAAACGAACGAAACGTCAAAATAAACCGAAATATTTACGAATAATCGATTAGTAAACAAACTAGCCAAAGACGATAAGTGATACTCATACATAAAAGCAAATTCATAGAAGCAATATCGTCGAAAATTTAAAAAGTTGAATAATAGTAAAACGCGGATAATAAGAGATTGTATTAAACAGAGGAGCAATAAGTACGAGCAATATTAATCGAATCGAGCGAGGGAAAAACGGGGACGATGGTAAATGGTGTCGAGGTTGGCTAGGATTGTAACAACGTGTGGTGTCCAAGTAGAGGAGGCAACAAGAATAACCGTATACACTCGGCCCTGAGATTCAACAAGTTAGGCCAACCCTCGGAGCGTGGATCAAAGTTCTACCCTATCGTTCGAACGAACACAAGGATCGATATCGACTGAGCGAAGTTGACCCCGATGAATTATTACTCTAATGCACAAGTTTTACAACGTCGCGAACTATCCATGTCATCCCCCTTCTTTCTTTTTTCTCCCCCCCATTTTCATCATTACGTTCCGACCGATCAATAAGTTGAAAAAAAAAAATGAAATATTATACATATCTGTATAAACATAATTCGAATTAGAATTTTCATTTTACTCTTTTATCGATAAAAAGAAAGTCGAGACAAAATAATTGATTTACAAGGAATTGGGACATTCTAATTCGTGAAGTAAAAATAAAAATTCTTGTTTTCTTTTTTTTTTTTTTTTTTTTGTCAATCAATATCAAAATTTATTTGAAAACATTTATTTTGCAAACGTGAATAGCTTGTCTTATCATTTCAGATAGACAATCTCGTTGATAATGATAAGAGAGTTCCTATGTTTTATTATTATCTAAAATAGATTTTTATATTCAGAGAAAAGAATATATTTTTTTGATAATCGGGTTCGATAATCGTATTCAAAAGAAATTGAAAAATCGAATTACATTAGAAATTAATTATTCTTTAAATATAACTTTAGTATTAGTTGAGTATTGTAGATGTAATTTTTATTTTATAACTTTAAGAAGCTTATATATAAAAGGTTATTAAACTTAAATTCGACTCGGTTTGAAATAATATCAATTATAAATCGATATGATAGTTTAAACCTTTTTACTCCATAAAATTTTATAAAATCTAACATATTAATTCCATTTTTTAATATCTTTTAAAATTTTCCGCCTATTTTCAATATAATAATAAAATTGAAATTGAATTTAAGTAAACAAAATAAAAATTTGCTTTTTATAAATTTTATTATACAAATTATTAATAAATGTTAATATAAACGAAATAAACGTTATTCTAATATTTTTCAATATTAATTCTTCTATAATTCTTCGTTATCTCATATAGCCTTTGTTTTATGCGATTAACATTTACAAAATGATCGAAATCATCATTGAAAAGAAAAAGAATTTATGAAATTTCTATATCATCAACTAAGAAGAAGAAAGATACTTTTTATTTTACGTTAATCTTTTACATTAATGAAAAAAAAAAAGTATATTACTTAAAATACAAATCTGACTATAATAAACTGTAATTGATGCAAATATAAATGTACAGTGAATAAGTTACATCATATCTCCAATAAAAGCTCATTCCCTTGACAAGCTCATTCTCTATCGTTTAATATGGATATATTCGTCCCAAGATCCAAAAGTTTGAAAGCATAAAAAGTAATATTAGTGTTAAAAAATAATATAATATCAATAATATAAATTACTATATTAATTTTTTATTAACTAAAAAATAAGGAAATTTATTAATTTTATTATTAATTATTGATTAATTTCTGAAAAAAATATATATATACATATATATATATATATATAATATTAATACAGTTTTATAAATTTATGTATAATTTAATATTTTACTTATATAGTTTGTAAATATAAATTCTTTATCTATAAATTCATTTCTTTAAAACATGAATATTTTAAAAAAAATAATTAAAATTTTCCATTCTAACATTTTTTATGTATAATTTCTCATAAAATTATAATCTATTATTTATTATCTATTATTTACAGTTAACGGGAGTAATGATAATATCTGTAGGAACAACAATTTATGCTGTTTATGAAGATTTCTCTCATTTTCTGGATCCCAGCTATTTTTCTCCAGCAACTCTCTTAATTGTTGTTGGAATATTCGTATTTATAATAGCTTTTCTAGGATGTTGTGGAGCTCTTAGAGAAAGTACTTGCATGGTTCTTGTGGTAAATATTTAATTATCTTTTTTGTATTTATATACATATACATAAATTAGTATCAAGTAAATATTAATATAGTATATTTCTTCTTTATATAATTTATATTAATTATTATATATTATAATATAATTTATATTAATTTTAATGTTAATATATATATATT